AAAACATCGCCGAGAGCTCGAGCCGCGCGAGGTCGATCGCGACCAGGTTCGAGACGGCGGACGACGACCACGAGGCGACCGAGCCGAGCTCGAGCCGCATCATCTTGTGGTAGACGGCCGCAGAGAGCCCAACCTTTGCGCGCATGCCGCACCGCGAGCCAAACCAGAGGACCTGCTGCAGCGACGCCGTGTTGACGAGGCAGAGCGCGCCGATGGCCGCGACGATGCCGAGCCGCGTCCCGACGGAGCCGGTGCCGGTGCGGAGCTCGCGAACCAGAGTCGCGATGAGGAAGGGCTGGGCGCCGTCAGTTGCGAGGCCGACCAGCATCCAAAGGCTGATGGAGAGCTGGAAGCGCGGCCAGAGCAGCGACAGCGTGGCTCGCTGGGTCGCTCGGCCCGAGCCGTCGAGCTGCCGCTTTGACAGCGCCGCTCGGAAGCGCTCCAGCAGGACCAAGGCGTCGTCCTCTGCGGGCAGGCGGGGCAGCCCGTCGAGGGTGAGCGTGCCGCGCTTCGAGCGCATCAGAGGCGTGAGGTAGACGTGATAGAACTCGGCGGCGAAGCCGATGCGAAGCCGAGGCGGCTGCTCTGCCGGTGGCTGCTCGACGTGCTCCATTGGTTCTCGTAGTCAGCAAGGCGCTAGAGATTGCTGCGCAGATTGCTGCAGCTACTAGGAGCGGGAGTTCGAACGACCAGGTCTTGCAAATACCGCGAGGCTGCTGAAAGCGAGCGAGGCTGCTGAAGCGAGTCCACTGGAACTAGGAGCTCCGGCCGCCGGGGGCGCGGTTGCTGGAAGTGTCGCCGAATTTCTTTCTTCCGCATGGATGTCCTCTTTTCTTCAAGAGAGAGATTTTCAGTGTATGTGGCTCTTACGAACATTCCCGTAGGAGGACTCTGCTGACAGGATGTTTGAAGACCAACAAGAAATCACGACTCTTTTTCTTCAGTGCGCGCCAGTCCCGTGCCCAGTGTTGTGCGAGGGAGTTATCGGGAGCACTTGGAGCAAGGGGAATTTTCTTTTCTTCTGTCCAAACTTTTCGTCCGTCCGCACTCACTCCTCTCGCCGCGATGGTGTTCGACAACCTCGGGGGCAGGATCGCCTCACACCTGGCCAGGCACTGGAGCCGCTACCTCATGTACGGGGCGACCACGGCCGTCGGCGTGGCTGCGGCGGCGCTCCTCCACCGGGTGCCTCCGACGAGAGGCCGGAAGGTGGTTGGCCACCTCGGCTTCATCGCCGTTGCCGTCGCAATCTGCATGCTCGCGCCACACGACTACCAAGACGTCATCTTCAGCCCGACTGGCGCAGCCGTCGCCGGCGTCTTCTTCCCTGTTCTCGAGTCAATGCGCGCAGTCTGCTCGGTCACAGAAGAGGATGACCGGAGATGGCTGCAGTACTGGCTGGCTCAGGCGAACCTTTAAGGGTGGCCCCCCAAGCAACCTTCTAGGGGGCTTCGGGCTGAAACCCCTTCCAAATAAGCAGGCGGTGGGCGCGAACCGCCTTGATTGCCCAATGGCAGGGCCCCTCTTTTCCCCCTGGGG